TATTTTTAATATGGAAAATATTTGCAAAATATCACAGAAAATAACTTTATTTATTGGAAAATGATACAGGAAAATGAACAATGAGGGAGCTTAACACTGTGGATACTAAATCATCAAAAAATAATCTTGAATGGCGAAGAGAAGAAATTGGGTTTGATTAATTTATCAATTATTTTATTTATACAATTTTAATTTAAAAAAATTAAATTTATTAATTATTATAATACTTATTCAACTAAAGAAAATGATGTTCATAGTCAAAATCGTGACGAGGATCACGATGAAAATAACATAATGGAAGGAAGTTGAAAGAAACGTGCTATAAGGCCTAAACGTATATTTGGCATGAGAACTTCTATTTATCGTGAAGTTATCCAGTCTGTCTCTCTTCTCTCTTTATATATATATGTATATATGCACATAAACTGTGACATTTTGACCCTAGTACCAAAGGGTAAGGCGCCAATCATTTGTATCACAACAAAGCAATCAAGAAAAATTATCAAATGTAGCAGAACTACATATAATAAACATCCCTCAAAATAAAATCACAAGTGAAATTATTTTATATGAGACAATTACAATTTAAAACAAAACTTACATCCACATCTACTGCCTCATTTCTACCCAAGGCTAAAGAACTTTGCTCACAACTCATCTAGCTACTGACACTATTCAGGCTCCCTAGACTAAAAAGAAAGTCTGGATTGGGGTAAGTTTTAGTCGACTAAGTAACAAGAGTAGTATTAACGTGCCAGAATTAACGTTTTGAAAGTCTTGTTTAATGCATACAACGCAATTCTTTTGAAAAAAATTTCAATAATATTACCAATATAATGCAGTTCCCAAATTATCAATTTCGTACTCATTTATATTCATTCCTTTACCAATAATCATTTCCATGCTTCAATAATACACATCAAACAAAGCAATTAGATAACATCACGTGCAATCCTCTAACAGACACACTCAGGACTAATTCTGTTTTGATACAATTTATTATCTTAGTTTAGGTTTCACTATTTATAAACCTATGCATGCAGCTGCTACCATCTATTTCCAAGGAGAGCAATACGGACACCAACTAGCTATGGATGGGTGTGTAATCAATAATAATAACCATATATTACCCGTGAAATCATGTAATCACACTTTTTCTCTAGTTACCATCCCATAAGGGCACCCCGGTTGCCATTTTTCATGCCTATAGGCCCCAGAACATGAATAGCAATTAGTACATATTCTCAAAAAAAATTGTATCATAGTTGCAACACGGAACCCAATCCATAACCTACTGGCTCCAACCAATAACAACACCAATACTCCTCCAACAAAATTAGATAGACCGAATTTAGACTAGACAACCTGGTGAGTTAAATTTTATTATACACTTAACTCATTTCCTTTTTCTAATACACAACCCCTAAGCTATCCTAGCCTTAATTCAACCTGACTCTACTATGTTTTCCCATTTCCCCCTCTCACATTTTTTTTAAATCCTTTCTTGTCCCTCTAAGCACCTCTAACCATCTATATACTATTTTCTCTTTTTAATTCATGCATTCCATTTCCATTTCAATTCTTTAGTAATTTAACCATTTTAATATAATAATACAAACCATATAATTTATATATTTAACATACAACAGGTAAGAAGAAATAACAAGCGTGCTAATTTAATCCTAATGTTGCCTAATTAATTTTTATCCAATTATTTTACTAACCCTTAAGTCTTCTAGCTTAGTTTTATTTTATTTTAAGTTTTCTATTTAAGTTTATTAATCCTATGTGTGACATCCCAAATGGTAATTAAGGCATGTGAGTGTTAGATACATAAACAAGATTAAGAGTGCATGATAAAATTTTGTACAGCGAAATAAATTAATGCAAATCTCTTACAAATATATATGAGTTCCAATTACATACATATAACTGAGACCAGAAGTGGCTACAAAATACAAAGTCAAAATACAAAAGAGAGCCACTTCTTTCACTATGCTATTGGACTCATCAGAGTGCGGGAACGATCATGCACTCAAGTTTTATGGATCCACGGGATCCTCATAAACTTCAATAGGTAGGTCAACTGACAACTCCTTATTTTCTTCCTCATCTGGGGGGACATGAAAACAGTGAGTTCCATATGCTCAGTAAGGAAAAGAGTATTTAAATAACATCGTAAGGTTTTAAATGTGAATTATTCTAAGATAAATACTTACCATTTGGCTACTTCGTAGACCTATCTTACATTATGAAAATAATTTATTTATTAGATAAAATAGTACGTTAATATAATTAAAACAAACACACATCATACCAGATAATAGAGAAAATCAAGTAAATCATGAAATGCTTAGATTTTTGTGTCATACTTCGTGAAATCGTTGCAACTTCCATCTCTGAAGGCAGATACATATTTCCAACTACCCATTTGGAATGACCAAATCAGATACAGATAACGACAATTTGCTCGGGCACATTTCTGGCTTACCAAACTTTGGTACGATATATGACCACAGCCGTACTAACCATAGTGGTCCTATAAGATATTTTGTAGTCACGACAGTACTTAGCCAAATGTGACCCTTAATAGATATTCGCATCACCACTCTCATCAGAGGGTATACCGTCATCCACAAGTAGTGGTTCTCTTACATCTTTCCAGACCAGATGGGGGAGGAAAAAATAGATACACCTGATCGGGTTAGGTGAACAAATATCCCTCAAAAATAAAAAACCTAACGAGACACTTGATATATTATGCATGTCATTATAGATACATACTTCGGACCATTCATGCTTAATTCCACATTTCTCTTTTTCTTTTCTTTTTGTTTCTTTTAGTTTCAAGATAACAATACCAACTTCATATTATTTTTATTACATACAAATCATCAAGTGTTTATAAATCACATAGCATGCTTGAAATTAAGAACAATTAAGCTTATTAGACCTACAAATATAAAAACATGCAAAATAGGAAAAATCATAGATTATCAATTTAATAATTTTCTTTTGTCTAAAAATACCCTTTAAGAGGTTTAAAGAAATACTAAATTCTTTATCGAAACTTTGATAATTTTTTCTTCCTCTCCTTCTCTCTCTAGTTCACTCTCTCTTTTTCTCTCTCCAAGCCTTGAAAGGTGCACGAATGGAAGTGTGGAGAAAATGGAAAGGAAGGGCCCCTATTTATAGAAATTGGGAGCCATCAGCTTCGCGCCAAATGGCAAAATTCGATGAAGAGAGAGAGGAAAAAATGCTCGACATGAAAGATGAGAGAGGAAAATCTCCTCTGTCTGCGGCGGCGCGTCACTTGAGGTGACAACGACGCATTACAAGCTAGCCTGCTGGTGCATGACCCTCCCTGCCACGTGCGCGCATACTGTGCAGATGCCCGTGCGGGTAGCTCCCTTTTTCCTGCTGGATTTCTCTTATTTTGTCATTTTTCCAAAATTCATTTTTAATTATACTAAAATAAAATAAAAATAAAATTAATGAAATTAAAATAAAATTAAAATAATTAAGAATCAATATAATTCACAAATTACGATAATAAGTTATAAAGTCAATTAAATGAGTTTAAAGCGGCCTAAAGGCCTGAATAAATAAGATTTTTTCAAATCAATTAAGTATAGTGATGGGCGGAGTGTTACACTATATATCTATCTCCTAATTCCATTCTTAATTTTTTTCTTCCTTTTGGTTTATTTCCTAACTTTAGTTAATTTCTATTTTAAGTGAATTTATGAAATTCTCTAACTAAGTACCTCAAATTCATTATTTATAATTCCCCTATTTGTATTATTTAAAATTTACTATTTCAATTTATTTTCTGATTTTCCTTTTTCTATTTAATTCAAAATTTCCTATCCTTTATTGATTTAATCCTAAAGTTAAAACATGAAATAGCATCAACAACAAAATTAATCAAGAAAATATCCTTTGATTTAACCAAAACATCATGAACACACACACACACCTCATTTAAATGTATATTGTTTTTTATTTTTATTCAAAATACACCTTCTAGGTAGCACGGTAACGAATTGATTCAAGGATTCAGTTCCAATCTCAACCCCAAAGTACAAACACCTAGCAAACCATGGTTTGGGTCTTCAACGAAACCCATTTAGCGTACTAGGTGAACACATGTCACACAAACAACTCTACTCTGGCTCCTACATACGAGAGAACCGCACACTTGAACACTTTACGGAAAACGAAGAGTGAATCAACATTTAACAAAAGTGTAAATGCATATTTTTTAATTAAATAGCTTATAAATGTGACGAAAAGTAACCGAAATACAAATTCAGAATATTTCCTAAGCCTTCCCCAGCAATTTTATTCACTTAGAAAATGTTTTCGCATGATCACAAGCCTATTTCCTAAAACATACATATGAAAGTTAAGGATTTCTGCTACGCATACCTATAGATTTCATTGCTAAATAGATTGATTTAGGACTCCAAATTAGTGCCCAAAATAGATTCGCAATCTATCAAGAGCACACACATTTTGGGTAACATTTAACTGATTAAATCAGTTGCAATTTAATAAATAATTTATTCCTAGTTAATCTATGATATTCATACTAAAAATTTCTTAAATCATGGGTTTAAATTAGCAAAGAAAGCGTAAGAAAAATTTAGGGAAAGAGTTTGATCATGAATGAGAGTGACTAGGTAAACGAGTTACTCGACGATTCGATGTTCTGGTTAATGAATTTTGAACTTTGGAAACACCTGGACATGATATTAGGATAAGTGAGTTGATTGAAAAGCTTAATTTTGGATTTAGGATAGAAAACTCTTACCAAATCGAAGATTCGGGTCATGCACAACCCGACTTGAATTTTGCTAGAATCCAAAGTCAATTCCAGCCTCCCTGAGTAGTTCACAGTGTGGCGGGGCAGACTGCACCACTACTTAGGAGATTTTGGTGAAAACCCTCACAGTTTCACCCTTTCCCTCTCCTCTGCAACTCTTCCTTCGATTGACCGAAGGAAGAAGAAGGAACTCAATTACTAAAGAGGGTAACCGGGTCTGATGCATATGGGCCATTGACACGCATGTAGGCCATCTGGGCCGTGCAATGAGTTTAGGTGGGAGGGGCAAAATAGTAATTGCACGCAGTAATTAAAAATTTAGTGTATTATCTTAAAAAAATAATTTAACATAAACCATACTTTAGTACAAATTTTACTTCGAAGAATGTTAATCATGCTCTGATTACGAGCATTTTTCACTTTCTTGTTGTTAATTGTGCCATCATCAAGTTTAATATTCATTTATTCGAAAACATAAGAAGAAGAAATTAACTTAGACTCGTTCCATCTTGGATTTGCAGGTAGATTTACTGATGAAATTGCTGTTGTAAGCACTATGATCTAGCACCTTTAAAGTTATGTGGAAAAATTGTGCTATTGAATTTCCTATAATTAGGAAAATGTAACAGAGCATAAAGTAATTTTTTTTACTCTCTATGCATAATTTTAATAACATAATTGTATTTGCATACACATGAATTACAAAAATTTTGATGTGAGCCATACACATGTAAATGTAAGATAAAGTTTTTTTTTTTAGTGGGAAGATGACTGAAATGCAATTAAATCCTAATACTATCATATATGATTTTGCTACCGATTTTTTTAATTATTTTTTGCAATCTTCTAAGTATGATAAAGATTTGGAAGAAATGAAAGTTTTATCCAAGGAGGATTATTTTCTCACAACTAGAAGGTTCATTTTTTTGTAAAGTATGAGTATTAAAATCCTAGCCTAGTAATTCTTATTTTAGGGAAAGCTTTTTATTAAAACAAAAAGATATAAAACACATGTTATTTTATACTTATTTCAATCATGAACTTCTATGAATTTTAGAAACAAAAAGGAATTCAGAAAGGGTGAATCTAAGTTTCATGAAATTTCACGGTAAAACTTTGTTATTTCTCTAGCTCTCTTGCTCTAATTTTTTTACAACTCGACTGATGGTAGAGTTGTGGAACAGGAACTCATAATTGAGAAAATGGCAAGTGAGAGTGGGAAATAACATTGAATTAAAAACATCATGGCTAGGAACATTTGGTAAATCCACTACTCAATAAATGCTTATGAGTTTAAGTTTTTAAATGTGATTGTTTCATAAATTTGTGTTTAAGATAATTCACAAATTCATATGTATATATAATAGAGTCCAAAAAATTCAAATCCGAATTATTCAAAGGCTAATGATGACATTTTACATATATGTTTTGTATTAGATAGTGAAGAAAAAGTTGAAAGAGCTTATGACATAACATCCATAAGGCTGAGAGGCCGTAAGGCAGTGACCAACTATGATTTAAACTAGTATGAAATCTAAGGAATTCTCCAATGCTCGATGATACCACTTAGTAAAGGTGATTCAAAGTTGATAAAAACCTGCGCTATTAAAGAAATTCTTTTTGAGAAAAGAAAACATGAGAAACTTAAACTCAAGAATCTAAAAGATACAATTCCTAGAGATGGAGATCAAAGCTCTAATGACAGGTTTTTAATGGTGATCAAGAATTGGGATTTCTTAGTTTTGGGAATTACTTTCCAAAGCAATGTTCTACTATGCCTGTTAATCATCATATTAACTAGTATCATCCTAATTCTTCCTTGTTTCAAAACCATGGATTTTCCTCTTCACAAGCTCATCAAAACCCTAATTTTCATCCTATTTATGGTGGTCGAGACCTATATAGGCCTTTTTTCACTCATGGGTTTTATAACCCTTATATCCCAACAAAACCTAGTTTTCTTCATAAGTTATATAGCATTGCTAGAAATGCATATTAGCGGAATT